TCACGTTTACATGCATTTTTCATAGTGTAACCCACGTTTATGGTGCGTTGTAAATTACATATGAAGGTGTTTAAATACATTTAATCGTAATTGTAACAGTTCCATGGAGTTTTTAAGAATTCGATTGGATGAGGGTTAAGTAATAAATGTTCGAAATGGTATGAACTATGTTTTTATTGGGCAAGGTATATAATTTACCTTCAACGTTTTCAACAGTTTTTATGTCAGTCTTTGCTGCTTGTTTCACCAATAGCGTTGTGTTCTTGACAACATGGGTGGGTTGTTCCAATACACATCTCACAACTGAAAAAAGAAGATAACATCAGTGACTGGAAAGATATATATATAATATGAAAATATGTGTGCTCACTCAACTCACGCAAATCATGGTGATTTTGGATAAAAAGTCGGGACCTCGCATTGTGCTTACAGACATAATTGTATTGTTATGTTTTATACTAACCATCCTCATTTTCAAAAGTCACAAAGAACTTGTCACCTTCCTGTCGACATTCGCTGACATCGCCACCACCAGATCGACGTTTGTTATCAAAATACAGCTCTATTGTTTCTGGACTAGTGTCTGGGTCACAACCAGTCACTTCTATAGTACAATTAGTTTTATCATCTAATACATCAACTATTTCTGAAATGAGATGTACAGGCTTATAAATTAGTTTGAGGCAAAACAAATATGCGTATCAGTCAGCCATTTTTAGTCTACATTATGTTGACCACAAATAGCTGCATGCAGGGTACGTTTCACTAGTATCCATGGATAACGTGCAAAATGTATAATTATGTAATGAAACTTATTTGAATGCCAAATTGTCAAATAATTGAATGAATTATACATAGACCACATGCTATACCAAAAGTGTTTTTTCCAAAATAGTATGCACATTCTGATTATTGTTAATGAGTGACAGAGGTTTCATTCGATACGTTGTTGCCATTTATACTTTTCAGGATGCTGTTCCAGAAACAGAACTTGTTGGTGTTGTCCTGGATGATACCTTCAGCTAGAAGGCAGTGATTATTTACACCACAATGCACCCTGACCCAATCATTGTATCTGGACCATGAAACCTAGCAAGTCATATGGGTACATAAAAATGCCTCAACTGACTTAGTTCAGTACGATTTCATGAGTTCGTGGTTAGAATTCTCCGTGGTTTTGAGTACACAGATGTTGCATTCCTCCAGAAACACGTTGTGATATTGGTTATAATATCATTGACGGCATGCAAATCGGCTTAAATAATTTAAAAAAATTACTCAACCTCACCAGATGAAATTTTAAGTTCATGGAAATTTTAAATTATTCCTTTTCAATGGAGTTATACACAGGGGTCAATAAGTGTCAAGTTTAATTATGTTAATGCTATCAATAACATCCATTGTCATAAATTGAATTTACCTTTAACAGTGTTCATTTCCGGTTTATCTGGCTCTGCTTTTTGCACCAATAATGTCTTATGCTTCACAACATGGGTGGGTTGTTCCAATACTCTTCTCACAGCTGACAAAGAGATTGAACGTTAGTCGTGTCGAAAAGATAAAATTCATTGCTGGTAGGAAATACTGATGAAATATAAATATTCTGTATTCTACATAAGATCAGCCGACACAGTAATTTCCGCCTGATACAGAAAAGATTTTAGTTTTGCAAAATAAAACATGCTCAGTGGTCTGGTAAAAAAAAGTGTCATGATGTGCTTCAATTACAAATTTGAAAATGCAATTTTACTAAATGATATGTTTGGCTAGTTAAAAAATTAAATGTGCTCAGTGGTCTGGTAAAAAAAGTTTCATGGTGTGCTTCAATTACAAATTTGAAAATGCAATTTTACTAAATGATATTATCGAATGAGTTCAAGTTGAACACCTTTGTATTCCGATGACTGATTCAAATAGCATGAAACAAAAAAAAAATTTAAATGAAATATATGATTATTTTTTTTTCAAAGCACCAGAGTAGCATAAAGAGAAATATTGAGTAAATAAGGTATGAGACCTAACAAAAACGAGACATATTATGACACGGCCCCAATACAATATCAAGTAAGCGGAGTTGTGTTTACTTTATGCACTCATCTTGATTGATTCGAAAATAAATGGACACAAAAGTTATTATTGACCATAAACGACCACATTGTGCCCAAAAAAGTGTATGTATCACCAAAATTGTCAGTGCATTATGTGTTATTTCAAATTTACATTTGTCCTTTCAAGTATACATGTGCTGTCATAGAAAACTAAATTTAGTAAGTTATTTGTGCTACAGGTGCTCTGAATATAAATCTGAAATCCCGGACGTAGTTGGAAGTAATAACCAAAGCGTCACCGACGTCATTCAGACAGCTGAGGTAGTATAACTTATGGTGATTTGGTGTGACTACTTGGAATGGGAACGAATGTAGAGCTGGTTGGTGCAAATTAGAATTACTTGCATTTGTGCCTGGTAAACAATTCAGAAAAAATCAAATCCTGTCATATTACGTATATACTCACCATCTTGGTTTTCAAAAGTCACTATGAACTTGTTACCTCTCCGTCGACATTCAGTGACAACTCCACCTCCAGACCGACGTGTGTTTTCAAAATACAGTTCTATGGTTTCTGCACTAGTGTCTGGGTTAAAACCAGTCACTTCTATTGTACAATTGAGGTCTTCAGATATTTCTAAAATGAATGTATCAAAGACAGATAGGACTGATAAAACATCGTTTTAATATGCGATGCCATCATTTGAAACTTGACAGCAGGCAACTAATTATCTATAGAGTACTTAGTGACTCCAACCACTTTAACCATTGTAACAGCTTACTTTTTTAACTAACACACAATTTAGCATATCTATAAGCAAGGTGATATATTGCTGAAAATTTA